TTTAATATGAGTGCGAAAGTGCGACTCCACAATGGTACTTTTAGTTTCATATTCTTACCTTTCCTCCCTGTGTAAACCTTTTTGACTTAACTGTAAACAGTATCACCTGAAGTAAACCCCTGGTAATGTTGCTCGCTGGGGTAGCTGTCCGAATCTAGAGAAGGTTAACGAATCATGACAACCCACGAAAAAAATATTCACGTCGTAGCACCAGAGGAAGTCCCAAATCCTACTGGTGTATGAATCTGGACGCACGTTAGGCGAAAGCCCGTTTTCGTCTTAGAAACCTGACCTGACCTAACCTAACCAAGATGCGATCGGACGAGGGGGAATCGAAACTAGTCTCCCATTAAGCCAGTCAAAATGCTATGTATTACACGTCAGGGGGAAAACGGATAGCAAGTACTACCTTAACTCGGCGCCACTGACGGTAGTTAAACAGGGTCCATTCCGTCGGATCGTCCAATTTTCTCACGAAACCGCGCAAGGCTGATGAAACGAGGCAGCCTAGTGCAGAGCCTAATAAACCGAAACCTGGGAAGACTGGAGCCCGAATGCTTCAGAATGTTATACAGACTATACGTAAGACTCCACCTTGATTATAACATTCAAGCGTGTCCCTCAACGTTATTACGAGACATTAAAGCACTGGAAGCAGACCGGAGAAGAGCCACGAAGCGACTCATCGGGCTATCGCAACTGAGCTACGGAGATAGACATAAGCGACTCAGTCTCTTTACTCTTTCCTACAGGAGGCTGAGAGAGAGTTTAATATTGAAACACAAAATTGTATCAACACAGAGTCACTCAAACAGCGAACTAATAGCACTATCATCGCACCGACAACTGCGAGGACACTCTAAGACCATCTTGCACCAGCAGAGTTGTACTGACAGCAGACGGTTGCATTTCTCCATCTGGGCCACATCCGCTTGGAGATCATTATCCCAGGAAGTGGTCTCTGCGCCTATGTCAGCGTGCTTCAAGCAAAGACCAGATACGTTCGCCGTCGGCATCACCTCAGCAGTGGACAGCAACATTGAGTACCCTCAAAGTAATGTCAGATGAACCTCTGGACTGTCCACGCAGCACAACTCGTAAGGCATGCGATTCGGTTCAGCTAACTGACAACAGGTAACTAACCTGCTACACCGACAAGAATTAACCTAATAACCTGTTTTTTGCTTAC